CAGTTTTCGTTAACAGCAGTCATGCCATGTAAAAAAAATACAGCTGTTTTCTTCAGAAGCCTAAAAAAGACTTCCTTGTACTACTTAAATTTAAAGACGACCAAAATGGCATAATATCAAAAAGAAATGTAAATAGAGAATCAGCTGCCAACTAAATGCCACCATTACTCACAGTGTAATATCACCTACTTGTCTTAGGATCATTCATTTTAATATTACAGTTTGGTCCACTGAGACTATTCATCACATTTTTATTTGAGCAAATTTCTATGTGCTTAGTACTGACTGTGCTAGACTCTATAGGTTTCTCTGTAGGTGTTTTAAGTCCTGGCCCACAATAGCTTACAATGTGTTTTGAGTATTTAAATAAAAATACAGAAGTTTTTAAAAATAATTTATTGTACACACTCTTTAAAGTAAAAAATTCAGATAATGAAATAAAAGCTTAAAAATCTAGGATGAGCCTAGAAATATTTTGAATTATAAGTCATAAAAGCCTGTATTAATAAAAAATATTTGGAGGACAGATATTTTTAAGATGACAGTTAAACACTTCTGTAGTCATAACTAAAAATATAATGAGAAGTATATATTTTATACAGATCCTTAAGATACTTGCATAGTGACAATTATCTTAAAAACAGATTTCTTTGAAATGTGCTTCCAATTACTAAGGATGTTGAAAAGCTTTTTCTCTTAGTTCATCTGATTTCCTTATAACTTTTATTATATTATGTTTAATTTTTGAAAATTATTCTTATAGATACTAAAAACACAGACCCAAGCTAACACTGCCTGAATTTTCATATATTCTGTGGATATATTTTATTATGTAAAAGATAATGACTCTACTTTTCTCTTCCCTCCTTGGGAGAACTTAGATAAATATACCTTCTGACAGAAGCCAAAGCCCTTCTAAACACAATATTCTCTGTTCTTTTACCTATTCCTAGCTAATAGATCTTGGCATGGCTTGGCACGCCTCTTTACATTACCCTGGTCCAACCTCTCTTGGGAACAGCACAGCTGAGTTTTTTTTTAATTTGTTTGTTTGTTTTCTTTTACACCGGGCTGCACTGATGCTGAATGAAAGCACTAATGCTGCAATACGATGGGGGCTGGAGTAGGCAGCAGTTCATTTCTTCCAATGCAAAAGCTGTAAGTTTTAAAGTACATGGAATATATTATATGTATAGTCAAGACTCAGGTCTACATAGCTCACTTAAAGCATATTAATGTTGTATGTTTGTTTCACGTATGTATCCCACAGAGCTTTACAGTAGTTACTACAATTACAATAAAACTGTAGATCGAGCATCAGTTCTTCACAAGTAACTTTTTTTGGGGGCAAAGTTCTTAAGGATCTTACTTTATTTTGAGGGTTAGTTCTATCTTCATTATAACCTTGTTACATAATGATGAGAATTTGTGTTTATTGAAAATGAAGATGACGGTACTTGTTAAAAACCAAGTTGGTGTTAAAAACCAAGTCTGGGTTGCTGAATTACAACCCAGAGTATTTGAGTACACATGTAGCATGACATTATTTTCAATGAATTTAGTACACAATGGATACATTTGTGCAGATTGTAAACAAAAATGTTCTCTGTACCTCCTCAGTTTTGCTATGAAACTAAAACTACTCTAAAAACTAAAGTCTATTTTTTAAAGTATCTCATATATACATATATATACTGATATGTATATATAGATATATAGTTTCTCTACATTAGATTTTAAACTAATTGGACAAAGATAATTTCTCATTGTATGAGAAATATTTTTGCCAAATAGTCATTATTTTTCTAACTTTTCTAATTATTTTATTACTTATTACTTGAACCAAAAAAACCTTTAATAAACATGTTATATAAAACTTCATGTGGGCTGGGTATGGTGGCTCACACCTGTAATCCCAGCACTTTGGGGGGTTGAGGTGAGTGGATCACTTAAGGTTAGGGGTTTGAGACCAGCCTGGCCAACATGGTGAAACCCCATCTCTACTAAAAATACAAAAATTAGCTGGGAGTGGTGGTGGGTGCCTGTAATCCCAGCTACTCAGGAGGCTGAGGCAGGAGAATTGCTTGAACTAGGGAGACCAAGGTTGCAGTGACCCGAGATCACGCCATTGCACTCCAGCCTGGGCTACAGAGTAAGACTCTGTCTTAAACAGACAAACAAAAAACACTTCTTGTGATTATTCTCCCTGGATGTAGACATTTTTAAACCAGGAAAGTATAACGTGAAATGACAACAACCAATAACATGAACAATAACATAAAAACAAAAAGCTATCATGTTCACTTATGTTAATCTTGTACATGTTACCTTTGCTGACAATTTACTTAATTAGTAACATCTTTCTAGGGTCAAACACTACACTAGTGCCAAGAGACCTATGGAAAAAATTAAGAAATGAGTCCTGTCCACCATGAATTACAGTTTTGTCACATGGAAAGAGACATACACAACGGAAATATTTAAGGAATAGTACAATACAATAGTCAAAATGGGTACTACGTAGCTTCAAAGTTGCAGACAGAGGTAAGGAAAAAACAAAAATACTTAAAGTATTCAAGGCCTAAGGATAAGGTGAGATCTGAACATGTGGGAGGTGGGTAGGTTTTGCATGGACAAAAATTATCATGACGTCTTATAAACAAGAATAGCATCCAAAGGATGGTTGGAGTTGATTCCGTTCATGACATTTAAACCCACACAGTCAGGAAGTCAGTTTGTAGTTGAAACTGAGATTCATATTAAATAGGTAGAAATAAGTCTGAGTAAAGAATCAATCATAGTAAATACTTTCTGAGGATCTATCGTGTAATACTCATTTTATGCACGTTATTACAATTACCCTACAGGTAAGTACTATTATCTTCAATTTATAGATTAATTTACTGAGATGCAATGAAATTAATTAACTTTCTCAGAGTCACAGAGCTTGTGAGTGGCACAGCCAGATTTAAATCCAAGTTTGATTCCAAAACTCATATTTCTGTTACCACATCACTTTGTCTCATAAACAGAATATAATTGCAGCAAATCTTTCATTCCATTGTGCTGTAAGAAGGAACAGTACACCTGGAATTTTAAAAACTTGAACCTGAATTTGAATTCTTACTTATATTAGTTATGAAAAATTGGTGAAGCCCTCTATAAACTGTACCATCTTTTGTAAAAATAAAACAGTGAATAGATGACAGCTAGTCACACAGATGAATGAGGAACAGACAGAGGTAACAGAAGAATGGACATTCTTCCGATGTTGGCAAATACTATGTACTCAGTAAATTTCACTGAATTTAAACTTAAGTAAAGGGATTGTGTAGAGCATCAGCTTTATGCTAGTTAAGACGATTTTAAGTATAGATTTGGAAGAAAGTAGTTATGGTTTTTATAGCTAATTCACAACTGGTTCTGCTGTTTAAGAAGGACTCTACAATTGAGTCATTATAGTTGGCAGAAATGATATGTAGTCACAGCATATGATCCTATGGCAAAACTTCTGAGACCATATTTTCATCGCTTCCCAAGATGTCGTATAGGTGAAGTATGCCCCTTAGCATGGTACCTACAGAGGAGACACTCAGTAAATATGTGGTGAATTAAGTAAACGAGGGGACAGAAGAAAGGGAGGAAGAGAAAAAAAAGGACAAGAAGAAGAAAGGCTGCTTGAATTTAAAAGCAGGTAAGCATATCATTTGAAAACTATTAGATGACTCAAGTGTATCTTTTAAAAGTCCACAAAGTTTTTTATTTTAATACAGACAAAATAGATTCTTTTGTTTTATAAAAATGTTACAAAATTTGTTATTCAACAACTATGTTATTTATTAATTTTGCCTTCGTATATGCTGCCAGCAAAGAAATACTAAGAAATCCTGACTTGATCATGGTGAATCAGAAGGCATGCCTGGATTTTTTATCACTCTAACTGTGCAGCTAATCATCCAATCTCAAATTTGTTTTTTATGACACTTCAAGGATGCCCTTAGCTGCATCACTCCTTTGTCGTCAAAAGCTTAGAAATAACAATTAAGCAGATTCCTGAGTTACTAAATGACACACAACCAGAATTGAAACTCAGAAACTTTTAGTTCCATGCTAAGCCCACAAGGACACAACATCTCTAAAACATTAATCATAATTGGGCACAAATATTTTTGTCACTATTCCCTCCTGCCCTCATTTGCTTTTATATCTCATTAAGTTCATATTCTATTAATTGAATTATTGCTCTCAATATGTTGACTTTTCACCATCGTAAACTTATACTGATTTTTCAAACTCATATTGTAAAATCAAGCTGTCATGAAATGTAAAGATGTCCACTTCAGTTAAGATTCATGTAAAGGTTTGAAGCTGGAGAAAATTCGTGGAACACAGGTCTTTCTTTTCATCACTTTTCCTCCAATCATCATCTGTGAAATTCTTCCCAACTTCTTAAATGTATATTCAAAATGCCATTCAAGAAACCAATCTAATATTCGGAGGCATGGATAATAATAATAAAGTTGATCTCCATGGATATTACCAACAAAACAATCATTAAAATAAACAGATAAAAATGAAGAAATAATCCAAATCAAAATATAATTCTCCTTGTCAGGTGGGAAGAAATACGCAAATTCAGGGAAGCAGGAATTGCAATAAAATGTCCGACTCCGTTCTTTCATTGTCTGTTAGAATAGAGAGAGAAAGATGCAATAAGCACGGATGGGGATTTTTTTTTTTATAACTTTGTGTATGGTGTGAGGAGTAAAATATAAGTAATAAATTTGTTTGCTTTAACATTTAAAACATTCTCATTTGAAGTAATTACATGTGTTTTATTTTTAAAAAAGCAATTGTAGGCACAATAAGTGGTCAAATAATTTTGTTGTAAAAATAAGTTTCAATTAGTATATAACTCTAGTCTAAAAAGAAATAAAGAAAAATACAAGCTGAAAGAGCCAGGAAATAGAATATTTTCCTATCAAAACATCAAAGTAGGCCAGACACAGTGGCTCATGCCTGTAATCCCAGCAGTTTAGGAGGCCGAGGTGAGTGGATCATGAGGTCGAGAGACCAAGACCATCCTGGTCAACATGGTGAAACCCCATTTCTACTAATAAAAAAATTAGCTCGGCGTGGTGGCATGTGCCTGTAGTCCTAGCTACTTGGGAGGCTGAGGCAGGAGATTTGCTTGAATCTGGGAGGCGGAGGTTGCAGTGAGCCAAGATCATGCCACTGCACTCCAGCCTGGTGACAGAGAGAGACTCCGTCTCCAAAAAAAAAAAAAAAAATTAAAGTATTCTGTTCATTTTTTTTAAGATACTACACAGTGCCAATTAGAGTAAAGCAAATTTTATCACACATGGTCGATGAAATTTTCTCTCTAATTATTTTAGCAAACAGTCTGATTACATGTATCTTTAAAGAATATTAAATATTACATATTGATTATTCCATAAAGTCTCCTTATGGTAAAATACATATACATAAACAGTTTTTTAAAACCACTGCCTTTCAGTACTTGGGTAATGATAGAGTAATATTTTCATCAGTGTGGCAAATTTGACCACAAAATTGACCATATGGTTAAGTAAACTATAGTGTATTATTTAGATAGGCTATTATATAAATATTAAAATGGCTTCACAAATAATTTGCAAATAGTCTGAGAAATGCTTATTTTATGCTAAACAAAATGAGAACAAGATTTAAAAATGTATATCATAATATTAACATAAATGTGTAAAACAAAATGTAAGAACTGTAGGAAAAAAAGTATAGAAAAACATACACTGACATGATACTTAATTTTTACTGACTAGTGAGACTAAAGTTTAGTAAGCTGCTTTTCTTTCTAATTTTCATCATTTTCCAAAGTTTCCATAGAGAACAGGGCTTATTTTTATAACTGAGCAAAAGTATAATAAGATTTACTTTAAAAAATTAAAAATGGAATTAGAGTGAACCTGCCAAAAAAGAGATGGAAACAAGGTGTCTCTCTCCATTTCCCTTCATTTGTTTTCTAGGGGAATCTGTATTAATAGCAAAACAGCACCCAGTGTGCACATATGTATGTGTGTGTGTGTGTGTGTGTTATATACATATAGATAGATGATAGATAGATAGATAGATAGATAGATAGATAGATAGATAGATAGATAGATGATAGATAGATGTGGGGAAGGATATAGGATTATAAATGTGAGTTGAGTAAAAATTGTATTGGACTCCTGCTTTTAAAGCTATTTTCTAGAATCAACCAGCTTGTTCTTATCTTCTAAGTGGCACACTATATATCTCTATTGAAAAAACACATTCATCTCTTCCCCTGAAAAACAGGAGATTATCTCTCAGTTCCCTCAACCATGGGAGGATAAATGTCTAAAGAAACTGAGCTGCTTGAATGTTCATATCCATTATAACAACTTGTACTGACCAAAGGAGTTACTGTACCTGACATTACCCAGAGAATAAAATAAAATGAGCACGCTTTTTCACTAAAATGAAGAGTTCAACCCATTTTATCGATAAGTCAAGTGTGCTATCTCTGCAAAAATAAACCTTTCCACAGTCTTTCTTAAAAAGAAAAAAAAAAATCACACAATGCTATAATACCCAGCAGACTTTCCACTCAATTAGCCACTAATAGAAATATTAAAAAGAGGTGCTTGAAGGAGGAAGCTAAAGCTCGAAATTTGATACGTGACATTTGGGATTAAGTTCTTCTGCCTTTTAGAGTATTCATTCATTGAAGTACATATTTTATTCAAAATAGATCTAATCAAAAGTTCAACTAAGAGTGTGCTAGCCATATGAGCCATATGGCGAACACGCTGGATTCTGACACCTAATCAAAATAGAAGTAGCTTAGCCTTAACATACTCCTGGAAACTGTCCTTACTATGAAAAAATCAGTGACGTGCAGATTCTTTCATGGCAAGAGACTTGATCAGTCACAAGATCAGACTCGAGTCAGTTTCAAAAACCTCTTGGTTGGAGGAAACTTAAGTAAAGTTTTAAAAACAACAATTCCTCTAAGGAATCTAGTACTCTTAATCAGACGTATACGTTTAATGTGCATTTTAATTCTCGAGATAGTCTGCCTTTGTAGCATGAACTCAGATTAGAACAGAGAGATGGGAGGAGGCTATGCTGTAAATCCCAGCAGTTTCTAAATCTCACCTTTCCAAATGGTCACTCCACATCAAGGTTGAGGAACACTGGCAGGGTAAGGAGGTGGAGCTGGATGCATAGTTGTTTGTGTGGTACCTGATCTGTGAACAGACAGAGGATTTCACAGCACACTTCTTTGAGTATTTTGAAAGAAAAGCAAAACCAAAAGGTGCATATCAAAGTCACTTCGGCTATGATGAATAAGAATATTTTAGATATTACCTTCCTAGGACCATCTCATTTCTACTTCCAAGCTTTGACTCACACTTATTTCCTCCAACACTTAGACATCAAATACCACTTGCGAGCTGAGACCATGTCTGATATGACTGGGGAAGTTATCATAGCACTTGTTAAACACTGAATAAGAACTGGTTGACCTCAAGTGACTGGTGAAGAGAAATCTAATTCAAACACCCTCCAGCTGATTATTTTTCGTGATTTCCCATTGCTCTGAGATAAAGACTAGAATTCTTAACATGACATCAAGGGCTGTTTTATCTGGCCTCAGGACACAACTTCAGCCTCTTTTCAAACTTTTTGCCTTTTTCTGCGTCTTCTGTGCTCAGGCTATATCCCACCATCTTCCGAAATATTAATGAAAGGTCATCTCTCTTATACCTAGCGGCCTCTGTACTTGCACTTTCTTCTGCCTGGAGTATGCTTCCATTTCTTCATCACTGGCTAACTTCTACTCATCTGATAGACCTCAACTTGGAGAACACTTCCTTGGGAGAACATCCTGTTGACTAGGGACTGGTCCCCCACTATACGACATCCTACTATTATTTTTCTTTCCAGGACACTGGTGTTATATGAAACGTATAGTATGTGGTGTGATTATTTTATTGAATATCGTGTCATTGTACCCTAAGCTTATAAGCTTCATGAGAGCAGGAGCCGATGCCTGGTTTTGCTTCAC